TGGTGGAAAAACTGTGACAGCGACAATATTACAGTAACCAGAAGTGAAAGAATGGAGACAAACAGGGACAAGACTACATTCCAGGGACAAACCCAGGACACTTCCTTGCTGGAGACAGAGGGTCACAATCGGAGATGGATGTCATCCTACCTATAGTACTTGGAAGTAGTCTTTAGACTGATTTCAGAGGTCTATACTTATCTTGCAAAGGATTACATTTAGAGTAGGGGTGTCCAACCTTTTTGTTTCTCTGGGCCGCATTGGAAGAAGTCAAGGAGTTTTGCGCCGTAAGTATATATAATATATACTTGTGGCCCAATATACAAGTATATTTAAAAATTAACATGTCTAGATTATAATAATAAGTATTAAAACTTTATCAAGAAAAAGGATATTTTAAAAAATTATTTCTACAGACACCTACAATTTTTACTTAGAAATAGATAAATTCATTTATTATAAAAGAGACAAATGAAAATTTATTTGAAAAACGCAATTACTTGTTTTATTTGGGTCTCTAATTAATAAAAAGCGACGAAACGCCATTTTAAAGTGTGTTTTTATTCAATTAATGTAATTATAAATAATATGTAGCCGAAAAAGCAGTCAAAGCGCCAAATGATATTTTTTACGTCAAACCCCAAAAAAAGTAGCCACATTTGGCCCAATGTAGCCAAATCTTGCAACGTTGGAAGAAATACTAAATAAAGCTGGAGTTGTGAATCAAAGGATTATAGATACAAGTGCGGGATAAAGAGACAAAGGACAAAAGATAAAGAAGTATAAAAGGTTGAAAAATTACAGGTCCATATTTGCTGAACAGAAGATCAATTTAACCTTTCTCACTACTACATCTTTTGTCCTTTCTCATCTTTCCCTCCTTTTTCCAAATTTGGGTCTATAATCCTTTGAGTCACAACTCCAGCTTTATTTAGTAATCCTTCCGCATTCACACATCTCCAAGTACAGTGTTTGAAAATATTTTCTTTCCACTCAAAAATAAAATATGAATAAAGGTTTACGGCTTTGTGAAACTTTTTTTTGAGTTTACGCTGTTGAAATAAATAAATAATAAAAAATTAAAACATTTGTCGGTTTTGTTTACACGTTTATTGGGCCGCATTGAAACTTGCCTTGGGTCACGTGCGGCCCGCGGGCTGGACACCCCTGATTTAGAGGTATGGTTCCTTTAACTTTTTTGCTCCTATGGACATGCTCTGCATCTCTGTTATGGTCCCAACGAGGTCATTCACATCTGCAATCTTACCCTTTAACAGGGCCAGATCATCGCATAGACAAATGAGACAAATGTCTAGAGCCCTATTTTTAGAAGGGCCCAGTCAAACTCTATTTTGAAAAGATTTGTAAATAAGATAGTTTACAATATAAATAAAATACTTTCCTTACTGGAACCACACAATAAATAAAAATCAACACCTTTAAACATCCAGCAAATCGTTTTTTAATATTTAAAAACGCTTTCGAACGCTTTAAGCGATCATCATCAGTTAACATTTGTGAATCGAACGAAGAAATTCGAAAATTACGTAAAACGAAATTCAAAAAGCGATTACATAAATATATGTAAATACGTTAACATTTACCAAGTTTAAATAATCTTAAGAATTATAAAAGAAATAAAATAAATTATATGCATCCAATAAAAATTATCTTATATAATCTTCCCGCTTACATTACGTCACTCATCGTAGAAGGATTTCCATGCCGACGATAATCCGTCAGCATCCCTATGATTAATACAGCTTGTGTGCATTTGCGCCTTGTGAATTTCTAGTTTTTCCAGATGTTTCACAGCCTGCCTGGATTTTGTGGCTTTAATGATCGACGCCCGATCCCAAAAGACTTCGATATTCTGCTGCTTGGCAAAGGCCGCAAGCACCGTAGAGTCTATGTTTTTATTGACTGATTGCTTATGTTCAGCAATCCTTTTCTTTAAGTTTCTTAAGGTTGCCCCTATGTACACTAGATTGGTGTTAAATCTACGGTCTTTTAATGGTATAGAGTACACCCCTGCCATTGCGCTGTGTTCGTAATTGCCTTTATCGTTCCTTAAGAGCCTGTATACGGTGGGATTACGTTTGTAAACTATCCGTACATCCTTATCCCTGGTAACTTTCTTAACCATTCCTTTAAGGAACGGTATGTAATTGAGTACGATTCTCTCTTTGCGTTGATTCCCTCCCTGAGAGGGGAGTCGCTTCCGACAATTCGCGATGAGGGCATCTATTCTTTCTCTACGGTATCCTTGCTGCATCGCCATGTTTTTTATATACTCTAATTCTTTGTAAGTGTCGCAGACGCTGGTGCAATGCGTGTGTGCCCTCCTTATCCACGAACGAAAAACGGCCATTTTTATATGCTCAGGGTCTGCGGAGTTCCTAGGAATGACGATAGGAAGATAAGTAGGTTTCCGGTATATATCTGTTCCGATTTCACCATCTTTGCAAGATATAGTTAAATCTAAAAAATTAACAATGCTTCCATTTTCTTGTTCCAGCTCCAGAGTTAACCCATACGGGTTGTCGTTGATCCGATCTAAAAACTGATTAACTCTGTGATTATCTTTCCATAAAATAAAGATATCGTCCACATATCTTGCGTAAGCCAATATGTCTTCCTGGAATGAGGGGAGTATATCATTTTCGAGATTACGCAACACTAATTCGCAGAGTATAGCTGACATGGGGCTACCCATCGGTACGCCCCGTGTCTGTAAGTAAGTTTTATCTTCAAATTGAAAGAAAGATGTGTGGCATACTAAATCCGCCAATTCCAAGATCTCCATGTGGTATTTCATAGAATTGCTAATTTTTGCTAACAAAAAGTCTCTCAGGGCGCAAAAGCAGGGAGGTAATTTAATTGACGGGTACAGAGCTTTGTAATCTAAAACCGTCATCCATTCTTTATCCATAAGCATGACATCCTCCAACTTTCTTAGCAACTCCACCGCATTTTTTACCGAAAAAGGCGAGTCTTGCATATTTTTCCGTATAAACTTAACCAGTTGTTTCTCCAACTTGAACGTAGGAGCATTACACTTCTCCACAACAGGGCGCAGCTGTGTTCCTGGCTTATGTGTCTTTCCGAACGCGAAAATTCTTGGGGTTCTCGGGGTCTGCACAACAGCCCTCTCCATATCCAGAAGACAGGCCAAAGGGGTTAGCGTAAATCTTCTCACCCTTTGTTGTAAAGCTTCTAAAAAATTATTCGGTGCAATAAGTGATTCTGTACTAATAATGTATTCATGCAATTTCCTTCTATATGAATCCCTCTTAATGAGCACCATACCCTTTGTTTTATCCGCTTTTATGAGTACAACATCATTCCTTCTGAGCCAGTCTCTGGTTTCTTTTATACATGTTTGGAAACGTAACGCGTTTTTGTTGTTTCGTTTCTCATTTTCGGCTTGGAATCTCGCTTTCCATCTACAGTAATCCTGCATAGTTAAACTCATGTTCTTTACAAGCAATTCAACATTCGGAATGATGTCCTCCGGGCGTACTATCGGTGTAGGAGCAAAGCAAGGACCGTACTCCAAAGCATTCAACAAGCATTGAGGGGGAGAAATGTTGTCCCAAGCGGTTAAAAACATCGTTTTTCTTACCCTCGGTTTAATATTATGGCGCTTGAATAGCCATTTTAGCTTCTTAATATACTTGCGTTTCAGCCTATTCTCTAAGGAGTAAGATAAAGCAATCACCCTGATATTAACCTCCTTCAAAAGATCTTGATTCTCCTTATAAAGTTCATTTTCCAAATTTATGAGATGGTGCAGCAATCTATAATATAGGCGTCTTGTACATCTGATGGCCTTATTGAGGCATAAATTCTTCAACTTCGGCAACAAACTGCGACAATCCACAGGAAGTCTGATGCGATGAATTGACATAGGGAAAACCCCATTCAACCGACATTGGCTAAGAAATTCGAATTTCGTTCTCACTCTGTATGTAAGCGGGAAGATTATATAAGATAATTTTTATTGGATGCATATAATTTATTTTATTTCTTTATTTAGTTTTAACTTTTATAATTCTTAAGATTATTTAAACTTGGTAAATGTTAACGTATTTACATATATTTATGTAACCGCTTTTTGAATTTCGTTTTACGTAATTTTCGAATTTCTTCGTTCGATTCACAAATGTTAACTGATGATGAACGCTTAAAGCGTTTTTAAAATATTAAAAAACGATTTGCTGGATGTTTAAAGGTGTTGATTTTTATTTATTGTGTAGTTCCAGTAATAAAAGTATTTTATTTATTCAGTAATGGCTTCGCTGGCCAAAATATATAGGAAAGTTGTCCTAAAGTTATGCAGAGCGAAAACGAAATTCGAATTTCTTAGCCAATGTCGGTTGAATGGGGTTTTCCCTATGTCAATTCATCGCATCAGACTTCCGGTGGATTGTCGCAGTTTGTTGCCGAAGTTGAAGAATTTATGCCTCAATAAGGCCATCAGATGTACAAGACGCCTATATTATAGATTGCTGCACCATCTCATAAATTTGGAAAATGAACTTTATAAGGAGAATCAAGATCTTTTGAAGGAAGTTAATATCAGGGTGATTGCTTTATCTTACTCCTTAGAGAATAGGCTGAAACGCAAGTATATTAAGAAGCTAAAATGGCTATTCAAGCGCCAGAATATTAAACCGAGGGTAAGAAAAACGATGTTTTTAACCGCTTGGGACAACATTTCTCCCCCTCAATGCTTGTTGAATGCTTTGGAGTACGGTTCTTGCTTTGCTCCTACACTGATAGTACACCCGGAGGACATCATTCCGAATGTTGAATTGCTTGTAAAGAACATGAGTTTAACTATGCAGGATTACTGTAGATGGAAAGCGAGATTCCAAGCCGAAAATGAGAAACGAAACAACAAAAACGCGTTACGTTTCCAAACATGTATAAAAGAAACCAGAGACTGGCTCTGAAGGAATGATGTTGTACTCATAAAAGCAGATAAAACAAAGGGTATGGTGCTCATTAAGAGGGATTCATATAGAAGGAAATTGCATGAATACATTATTAGTACAGAATCACTTATTGCACCGAATAATTTTTTAGAAGCTTTACAACAAAGGGTGAGAAGATTTACGCTAACCCCTTTGGCCTGTCTTCTGGATATGGAGAGGGCTGTTGTGCAGACCCCGAGAACCCCAAGAATTTTCGCGTTCGGAAAGACACATAAGCCAGGAACACAGCTGCGCCCTGTTGTGGAGAAGTGTAATGCTCCTACGTTCAAGTTGGAGAAACAACTGGTTAAGTTTATACGGAAAAATATGCAAGACTCGCCTTTTTCGGTAAAAAATGCGGTGGAGTTGCTAAGAAAGTTGGAGGATGTCATGCTTATGGATAAAGAATGGATGACGGTTTTAGATTACAAAGCTCTGTACCCGTCAATTAAATTACCTCCCTGCTTTTGCGCCCTGAGAGACTTTTTGTTAGCAAAAATTAGCAATTCTATGAAATACCACATGGAGATCTTGGAATTGGCGGATTTAGTATGCCACACATCTTTCTTTCAATTTGAAGATAAAACTTACTTACAGACACGGGGCGTACCGATGGGTAGCCCCATGTCAGCTATACTCTGCGAATTAGTGTTGCGTAATCTCGAAAATGATATACTCCCCTCATTCCAGGAAGACATATTGGCTTACGCAAGATATGTGGACGATATCTTTATTTTATGGAAAGATAATCACAGAGTTAATCAGTTTTTAGATCGGATCAACGACAACCCGTATGGGTTAACTCTGGAGCTGGAACAAGAAAATGGAAGCATTGTTAATTTTTTAGATTTAACTATATCTTGCAAAGATGGTGAAATCGGAACAGATATATACCGGAAACCTACTTATCTTCCTATCGTCATTCCTAGGAACTCCGCAGACCCTGAGCATATAAAAATGGCCGTTTTTCGTTCGTGGATAAGGAGGGCACACACGCATTGCACCAGCGTCTGCGACACTTACAAAGAATTAGAGTATATAAAAAACATGGCGATGCAGCAAGGATACCGTAGAGAAAGAATAGATGCCCTCATCGCGAATTGTCGGAAGCGACTCCCCTCTCAGGGAGGGAATCAACGCAAAGAGAGAATCGTACTCAATTACATACCGTTCCTTAAAGGAATGGTTAAGAAAGTTACCAGGGATAAGGATGTACGGATAGTTTACAAACGTAATCCCACCGTATACAGGCTCTTAAGGAACGATAAAGGCAATTACGAACGCAGCGCAATGGCAGGGGTGTACTCTATACCATTAAAAGACCGTAGATTTAACACCAATCTAGTGTACATAGGGGCAACCTTAAGAAACTTAAAGAAAAGGATTGCTGAACATAAGCAATCAGTCAATAAAAACATAGACTCTACGGTGCTTGCGGCCTTTGCCAAGCAGCAGAATATCGAAGTCTTTTGGGATCGGGCGTCGATCATTAAAGCCACAAAATCCAGGCAGGCTGTGAAACATCTGGAAAAACTAGAAATTCACAAGGCGCAAATGCACACAAGCTGTATTAATCATAGGGATGCTGATGGATTATCGTCGGCATGGAAATAATTCTTAAGATTATTTAAACTTGGTAAATGTTAACGTATTTACATATATTTATGTAATCGCTTTTTGAATTTCGTTTTACGTAATTTTCGAATTTTTTCGTTCGATTCACAAATGTTAACTGATGATGATCGCTTAAAGCGTTCGAAAGCATTTTTAAATATTAAAAAACGATTTGCTGGATGTTTAAAGGTGTTGATTTTTATTTAAGATAGTTTACTTTTCTGTTGGACAATGGTATAATACTGGTAAAACTGTTAAAATATTATATTATTTAAATATTAACCAAAAAGGTTAAATTAAACAAGTAAAACGGCAAAACCGTATTTGGGACACGACTATGTCTCGGAGACAGTACTAAACGGAATCACTTTGACACTCAAAGCGGATCTCGTTCTGATTCTCCAATCTTCTTTGGCATCGCTGCTTTTGGGTGCGATCGTTCAAACTTTGCTGGTCACGACCACGAGGTCGTCCACAATACATTTTTGGTGAAATTAACCTATCCAATTTCGAAATTTCTCTCCGTTGCAACCCGTTGACCCGGGTTGAATTTTTGTCGATGCCTAATGAAAATTTCCCGTTTTTGAAAAAAATAATTGTGGCTATTGTATCATCCGAAATTTTTTTTTATTTTGCACAAACAACATACAGTTTAACCCGATTATAATGTCATCGAATGTAACGACAATCCTAATATAACGTCAAATTTTTATCGGTCCCACGATTTTACTATACTGTACTAGATAATGTTAAAAGAAACCTACTTGTACGACATAAAACGCTGTTTTAATGTCATATTTGAAGCACTCCCAAATTTACAAATTTAGATTACAAATTTTTTTTAACAAAGAAAATACTACGTGTTCAGTCCTAGGGTCAGAGTTCACTTCCTAGAACAACCGTGGGCGGTACTCTCACCACCTGACTTCGGTTTGCCTGTTTGTACAGAGAGTCGCCATTTCGTATTTTACTTTGACTCGGTTCTCGGTCCCCTGAGTACCTACAAGTCTGGTTTGTTTTTTTATGCGCGTATGATTTGGGCACTTAATACTCTGTGCCAAATTGCAACTCCTGACATGTACTGTACTCCTTCATACCTCTAAGCTGGTAACACAGCAGGCAGTACCATTTTATAAACAAGACATAGTCTTGTTGACAATTAATATTTTAAGGTAATAATTGTTATTGTATAACAACTTTTGTTAGACATTTAATAAAATAAATTTAAATTTTTTAAAATTTATAAACAAACTGTTCAAACTTTTCTAGAAAAACTAAAAATCATTGTTGTATATTAAATATTTTTTATTAATTAATAAAAATTTAAGATTTGTTTTAGTTTTTGTATATTATTTAGTGTTTTTTATTTATTGTTTTATATTTTTTGTGCGCTCTATTTCTTGTGAGAGAGGGAGGGGGCCCGGTAAGAAGAAAATGTCTAGGGCCCCAAAGTGGGTTAATCCGACCCTGCCCTTTAAACTATACACAGACCTTGCAATATCGTTACCACTATTTCAAGAATAAAAATAAATATTGGTTAAGAAATCAATATTCTAGATGCAATATATTTCTGATATCTGTTATTTATTTTTTCTTTTTATATACACGACACCCCTTTCTTGATTTATAACAATAAATTTTCAAAATTCGATGAAATACTCGCCTTTTNTTTACTGTAAGCCTTACGGGGAAGGCTTACCGTAAAGAACTGTCCATCCCCCATGTTTAACGGAATAATATACAGCCTATGTCCACCCTGAAGTTCCATTCTAAATATTGGTGAAAAAATTTTTGAAATCGGATGAGTAGTTTTGGAGATTACCTGCTGCATCCAAACTTACATACGTACAAACATTACCTCTTTATTATATTAGTATAGATTAATTTTATTTTAAAAAATTAGAATTCGAAAATACTTCTAATAATTTCGGGTTGAATTTTTGTAGAAGAATTTGCTGCAACAGAAAATGTTTATTCAAAATTTACCGATAGCTGAAGCTCCAAATAATTTATTTTTCAACTGTTATGTTGTTTTCTTTTATATTTTTACATCATACAAATTCTTACTTAAACTATGGTCTTTTTATCTAACGGTCTGTCAACTTGATGACGTTTTCTATTCATACATTCTGAAGGGGAATATTTTGCTGACTGCTGGTGCAAAGACTAGCAGTTTGGTAAACAAAAGCAGTAATGGGCATGTTCAAAATCTCAGCCCGCTTCCAGCACCTCAGTTCTAAATCTCAGGCAATTCCGATGCTGAATTCAAAGCAAAAAAGTTTCTGAATTCTACTGTCGCTGTCGCCTTCAATTATATGAACGTTGACAGGGGTAAAGAAGAAAAAAAACGCCCACCGAGATTTAAACTCGGATCACTGGATTCAGAGTCCAGAGTGTTAAACATTACACCATGGCACCTCACCTTATCGCATATCACCTTAATGCATTGCAGATTGCCTTATCGACTATCTACGTAAAGATATCGCCGCATCTGTTGTTGCCGATAATGGAAATCTCTCCGTCTACACTTTCTCGTTAAAAAGCGAAGCTGTTGCCACAAATGTGTCGCGAACAGAATGACGGTTGCGGTCGTGTGGAAAGCAAAAGGATCGTAAATTGTCGATGGCTTTCCTTGATCGGTGTGTAAATAATCGAATAATTAATTCGTTTCAAGCGTATTACTGTTCGCGGCAAATCCGCAAACTTTTCGAACAGCCCTCGTAGAGTATCAAGATGTTTTGTGAAAACGGAAGAAATGAATTGACAAGTTTTCTAAATATTAAAATTATTTATAATTTTAATTTACTCAAGAAATTTTTGATCTGAAAATAATTTATAACTGAAAAATTAATTATTTAGGTTATAAATAATAAAAGTTAATAAGGTTATAGAAAAGAATTCTTCCAAACATTCACGAGACATTGTTCTAACTACTCACAACTGAACGACACAACTAAACGACACGATGGCACACACGTTAAGGTCGGTCTGACACTGTGCAGGAAAATCAAATGGTTTTTCGATTCTACTCCGGTGGTCGGTACAGTTCGCCAAAACTGTTAAATTTCCCCCCACACACTACCAGGAATTACTCAAGATCAGGCATGAATGGTGTATCCTTTGAGAAAAAAATATCTAAAAAAGATGCACATTAGAATCTAGAAAATAAATACTAACACATGCATTTTATTAGATGGCACACAATAAAAATAATTTGTAAGTGTTTTTATTACGTTTATCTGAATAAATTTCTTTGTAACAAAATATTTTGCCAAATCCGAGAAAAAAATTTGTCGAAAGAAACTTTCCTTTAGAAAATTTAATTAAAATACTTGAAATATTACATCTATGACGTAGAACTCGTGACGTAACGCCTGACGCATTGCAACGACAAATTCGAATTCGTTCCATTTCGTATTGTTGCCGACGCCATCTTGGAAATTTATGCTTTCCGGAAATTGCGAGTTCTTTTTCCCTCCATTTTGACATTTTTCGTACGAATTTTAATAACCAAAGCTTGCATAACGTAGGTAACTTAATATTTTTTTTATTAATAATTTATGAAAATTAAATACCTTAATTTAAATTAGATACGCTTCTTTAAACCTAGATTTGCTGCCTGTAAAAATACGGAATACGTTTTTATAATTTTATTTCTTACAAATTTCTTAGCGATATTTTAGAAGGTTGTTCCATTTGGCATCGAATTAAATTAATTTATCAAATTACAAATAATATTCGCTTGGACATTTTCTTTCAAAGAGACAATAAATGCGCTGTATTAGAAAATTTTAATAATTAATTAATTAATTAATCATCTGGATATTTTCTATTGTTAATAATTAAATTCTTAAATTACTCTAGAAAGAAGTATTATTCTCAAATGTTATAATCCATTTTCCAAAGAGACGTGGAAACATTTTGGAAACTTCTTTTGCTCAAAACAATTAACAAGCAGCAAAACAACAGACAGGTAAGGCGTTTCAATTTTCATTCTACGACGTATATGCAGTCAAAAATTGTATATAAAAGTTAGAATCTTTATTGCCCAGTCTATGAGTTTATTATTGTAGAACGATGCTCGAAAAGTAATGTTATTCATTCACGCATTTTGCTATTCGGGTGAGACAATCTTCTAGTCCACTCTGTCCAATTGTATATAAAAGATTCACATTAGTCTAATAGCACAATCTGACAACTGACGCGTATAATCCAATCAGTAGGACAGTAATTCCATATACTTTTCGAAGTACTTTTAGGGTTTTCTCGTCTTTCGTTTGGGGATATTATGGCAGTTAATCGCCTAATTAATCCGGTTGCGATTTTACAAAATAATTGAGCTGGCAAAATCCATTTTTTTCGGTTGGTAGACTGAGATCTTCAGTCTACCAACCGAAAAAAAATGGTTGTTGGTCAAGTTCATTTTGTAGATTTGCTGTCTCCACTTTACATATTATCCTGAGCATTGCAATAAATCAATTATAAATGAGTTTCTTTCTATTAAGAGAAACATTTACTTTCATTTAAATAAATTTAAATAATTGAAGTAAAAATTCCAACTAAAATCATACATTACAGTAAACTACATTCTACAATAATAAAACGCCAATACACCAATTATACGCAAATTAAACTGTCTCCAGATAAGACAGAAACAGACTCAGTCTTCCTTAGAAGAATTTTTAATTATTCTCCTTCTGTTTCTGTTCGGAGCACTGGACGACGATAGGTTATTTATAGAAAGTGACTTTCGTTTAATTTTGTAATATTAAAGCCCGGGAAAAATAAGAAAGACTTCTTTACTCCGCTGGTAAAAAATGAGGCCTGGCCCACAAAATCAAAGAGTAATTAATGATACACGAGACCCGAAATATACGTGCAAATCGCCCAACAAACATATTTCAAATTTTCTCTCCGGGATTAGATTGCGGGTCGCTCACAGCAATTAAACGCAATCATATCCGACCCAAGCGTTGAACAATATTCTAAAATATACGAACATCTATAAATTATTCATTTTTTAATTAATATATTGTTTCTATAAAACATCTAAATACAGTTAAAAGTAAACCGATATATTAATTATCAAAGTTATAATTAACATTATAGCGAGACATTAACATCACCTCAGGTAAGTTCTATTCAGTTTTCCATCTTACATTTAATATACATAATTCATAAATAATAATAAACAATATGTAATTATTCTCTTACTATCCATAATATAATATTTATTGTACTATTTAGAATATAAAATATAATTCAATTTCACATTTTATAACAATCATAATTATACATTTTTCGTGGGCAGCATCATAGCCAAGTGCTGTCATATAAAAATATTATTTTGACAAAAAAAGCCACAAATACAAACACACATTCAATCATACAAAAAAAATGATACATACAAGATAAAAATACAAATAAAAATAATTACAACTCTAAAAAATATAACATAACACTAAAATTTAACCAATATAATTCTAAAAAGTATAAACAATACACAATTAATCAATACACAACCATTGAAAAACTAAAATACACCGAACAACAAAAAAATTTCTACTGCCGCAAAAAACTTTATACACACCGGCGATGACAAAAAAAGGAGTTCCGGACCGCTGTAACGCGGTCCGGGGGGACAGAGGTGGGTCAAAACACGGACAAGACTATACAAACACCGGCGATGACAACGAAAGGAGTCCCGGACCGCTGTAACGCGGTCCGGGGGGACAGAGGTGGGTCAAAACACGGACAAGACTATACAAACACCGGCGATGACAACGAAAGGAGTCCCGGAGCGCTGTAACGCGGTCCGGGGGGACAGAGGTGGGTCAAAACACGGACAAGACTATACAAACACCGGCGATGACAACGAAAGGAGTCCCGGAGCGCTGTAACGCGGTCCGGGGGGACAGAGGTGGGTCAAAACACGGACAAGACTATACAAACACCGGCGATGACAACGAAAGGAGTTCCGGAGCGCTGTAACGCGGTCCGGGGGGACAGAGGTGGGTCAAAACACGGACAAGACTAAATAAACACCGGCGATGACAACGAAAGGAGTTCCGGATTGCGTTACAGTGCTCCGGAGGGACAGAGGTGGGTCAAAACATGGACAAGACTATATACACATTGACGATGACAACGTAAGGAGTTCCGGAGCGCTGTGACGCGGTCCGGAGGGACAGTCAGCTAATCTAAGCTTTATGATTTATTAGTTTACCGTAAATGAAATTAATTATCACTACTAAGACTAAAATAATTGTTTACATCTTAGTAATTGTTTAAAGTCTTGCATTAAATTCATTATTCCCAACCAGGAGTTACTGATATCTTCTACAGTTAAACATTACATTTTCCTTCAACAAAAATTGTACTAACCATCGTTATACGTAATATCATCAGATTTTCCAAGAAATTGAAAAAAAAAACTTTTAATAAAGTTAAAGTAGGACGTTAAAAACGTGTTTTTCATTATTGTTTCTATTGTTGACCGGATATATGACTATCTACTGCCTATTTAGAGTAATAAATTATTTGGACAGAATTTAGATAATCCAGGTTTTATTATAAAATGTATTTTTATGTTAGAAAAATCTATATCTTGAATATAATAGTAAAGTAATTCGATAAAGAAATGTAAAGCATTTGTAATTTTTGAAATTTGCTATGCGAATTAAACAGAAAGTTTACATAAGTGATATTAATCGAACAATGTCACTTAAGACAAAGGGAAAATGAAATACATAAATTTATCTATTGAATTCCAATTACTAGGTTCTCAATAACGTTAAGAATTTTACTAATTTAACTTTCTGTTTACATTCCTTCTGTAATTTTACTTTTATCTTCCTAGTTGCAAATGGCAAATTTCAAAAATTGAAAACATTTCTCACATTCTACGTAATTTAATAATCGAAATCAATATCAACGTTACGAAATACGTCTATCATTTTATAAATTGAACAAAGTAGCCTGTTCATATTGGATGAACAGTTTAGTCGATCGAAAACTAATCACACATTGGTTTGTGAATGTCATCTCCTTCTGAAGAAGAAGCTGCAATTGTAGTTTCTCCGATAAGAATTAAAACGAGTCATTTGCATAAATAAATAAATACAAAGCATTAATTCGATCACCAAAAATTTTATATATCTCTCAGATTTTTGCATTGTAGTGCCTTTATCTGCCGTGAGAAAATTCATAATTTATTATCGTAGTTTCTATCAGGATGTACGCAGGATTAAGAGAAGGAATTTGTATGAGCTGCTTTCTAAAACCCTTCTGGATGATGGCTCTCGTCTTCAGTGTGGAGCCATATTTCATTTGCAAATGCGAAAATATTCCATTTAAAATGGAAAAATTAAAAAATTACTACATTCGTTTCATCAGATATTTATTTTGGCAATATTCCGTCTTCTTCGTCTTACAGACCATTCCTAGTGTAAACGAGTTTGTGTTTTGTAGGGAATTCTATTTATTTATCGATAGAAATGCAATAAAAGTAGCTTTTGCAATATTTAATTTAATTTATTTATTTACTTTGATTTTCTTCAAAAATAATAAAGCAGATCTTAATATAGAATTGCGAGACGAATACTTTCGAAAGAAAATGATAAACGGAAATTCTGTAACGAAAAATTTCTCTCTCCTCTATTATTTCATAATAATTGTATTTATATTGTGTATACAAATCTTGAATTTAATTTATTATCCCTCATTGATAAAGATGAAAAAATTCAAAGGAGAAGCTGCATTGTGTAGTGTTCTGATTGGTCTAAATATGAATCTGGTCGTAGATGGAACTGCCTACTACTTCTTGTTAGGTGGTGTATTGTTATTAATTGCTCAGAAAGAATTTGACCGACTCCTTTGTGACTTCACTATATTAAAAAGAAATGAGATGAACCTGGCTTATAAACTGAATGAATTGGTAGCGCATCAACACAAATTATGGAATTTTGTTGATCAGTTCAACACTAAACTCAATTTCCCACTCGGTGTCATTTACTTTGGTATTATATGGAATATGTGCTTTTTTTATTATTCTTATTTGTTTTTGGAATTTAACAATTTCATACGATATTGGTTATTGCTGCTGGTAATATGTTTTACTTTCCTTTGTATAATAGCTGCCATTTTGTTATGTTCGTTTGCATTCGCGGTATGCAAATACGTATTAAAATGATAATGATGCAAGGAAATTCGCTGGAGAAATAACATTTTCTGTATTTCTTTCAGATGGAGAATGGCTTTCAAGATATAAGACAATTTGCTGTTTGTAAATTAAAATTGGAACAGAAGCTAAAGGTAAACTTTCGGAATTTACTTTTTTAAATGTTTATTGTGTTTAATAAATAATTAATTTTAATTTTATTTAGATTTTGAACTTTATGAAAAGATTTGGAAGAGTTTCATTGCATCTTTCGATAGGTGGTTTCTACATTATCGATAAAAGAATTCCTTTTAAGGTAACTGAATAAATTTTTCTTCAATTTCTTGACTCCATGATTTCAGCAAAAAGATTCCTTCAGATCGAATTTATGAAATTCGTTTTGAAT